AACCTCTTCTTAAATTCTGTAAAGACAATGTTATCATGGGCCTACCTTTTTCTTACATCTCTATCCACCTGACAAGCATGGATTTAACAAAATTTAAACCCTATGGCAAGCAAGGTATAACATGATTCAATTATAGAATTTATTCCAACTTTTCGTCCTTATGTATAGCTTACCCTGAGCCACTGCAAAACCACACAAAAACCCATTTTATCCCCATCCTGCCTTCTTAATTCCCAAAAAAATGGAAAAGAAGCCCATAATGCAGCAACTGGCCAAGAATGTCCGTCGGATGTCATTATCCGATGACAGTGCCATGATGAAGTAGTCGTGCTTGTTGTAGACACTGCATGTGGATTAGGGATAACTGAAACTAATCATTGATTAAGTCATCAACTTTGACTGCTGAATTAATATAGACATTATGTGTATTGATTGTGTGTTGTATATGTTATGTGTTTGCATACATTGTTTTGTGTGGGAGGAGGTAGGGGATGTACTCCACGGTTTAGGGGAAGATAGGGGATGGACCTCTAAACCGGATTTTGTTTGGGAGGAGATAGGGGATGGACTCCATTAGCATCACTTTTATGTGTGCTTATTTATATTGAAGTGTTTTATTTGATACAGCACTAAAATGTGTATCAAATGGGAAGTATGAAGTGTTTTGATATGAGCATGAGTCTCATTTGTTTGGTTGATATTGGAAGTAATGTGAATATAACATATATAGTTCACTGTGGTAAGTTTGGCCAGGTTCTGAGCCATATTGATAATAAAGAAAAGTGAAACGTGTCATTGACATTAGTGTCATGAAACTGTATAATGATGTAATTGATTATCTTGGTTAACCATCTATTGAATGCTATAGTTTTATTCAATGCTTATATTTGGTTTAGTATTTTTCTACTGGGCTGTGGCTCACCCTTTATGGGAACATCATTTTCAGGTTCAGGTGATAAGCTACCTCCACGGACTTAGCCTGGAAGGATTTGATGTTTGGGATTTTGAAGACTTGTCTTTAGTTATATGTTTTACTTTGTTATTTTTTTGAGATTTCATGTCAACATTCAAGCCTAGGGCTTAACTTGTAATTGAGTTAGTACTCATCCTTTTTGTGTCCAAGTGTTAGCTTGGAACGATGTAAGCCCTTAGGGCATTTATTTTGATGTTGCAGGATGTTACATGTGATGTCTTTCAATAAGAATACTCTGATGAATAACTCAAATGATTCGTTTTCTTTTATAAATGCATGTTAATGTTATGGTTATTATGGGTTTATTTTGAGGGCGTGACACAAAATATTTTTTATATAAAAAAATCACAATTAGAATCTATCACCTTGTGATAAAAAACCACAAGTCCTTGGCCAGTTGGAAAATCCACTATGAAACAAAAGAGTGCAAGAGATATCTTACAAAGGCTAATCTAGGCACACACATTTGCTCAACCTACAAGTAGCACATCTTCATCCATTGGATCTCTGCAACAGTTGTCGAATCGCCACGATGCCAAATGATTTCAGAATCCACCGAAATCTACAATCTTAGAATCCACCAAGAAGATTGTCGAATCACCACAACACCAATGACTCTGGAATCCACTGAAGTCTACTATCTTAGAATCCACCAAGAAGGTTCACAGTTGAAAGGTGTAAAAGACTTGTGTAGCTTGATGATGAACTTGAAGCACCGATAAGCTAAATAATCATCAAGCGAATATGAGAGTGTTACAAATGAAACATCACTACAAAGTTCACTCGCAAAAACAAAATCTCTCTACAAAATTGATCTCACTTAGAAAAACAATCTCTCAAAATATAAAAATATTCAGAAAAGCCTGGGAGAAAAAAGTACTCAGAAAATAAGTGTGAGGGATGCAAGCCTCCTTCGCTGGATGCAAACAAAACTTTTGGGAACATGATTTGGTCGCGGCCTGATCGCGGGCACCAATGAGCACATCGCGAGGGCGATGGTCCTGTTCGCGGACGCAAACAGCCATGCGTGCTGAGCTACTTTTGCAGGCTTTTTGCTCCATTTTCTTCTACATTTTCGTTTTGTCACCTAATCCTCCATTTTCTCTATAATTTGGGACTTGTGTCATTTGGTCCATAACTTTTTAATTGTAATACCTTTGACCATGAATTTTGAATCTCGTTCCAAATAAGGATAATTGAAGACATTGTTGCTCAATTTAAAAGGCAAAGTCGTCATACAACTTATTTTGTGTTGGTTAACTTATATGTTTGAAATATAATGACATTTTTTTTAATGAATAATGTTAGAACTTTTTTATTATAAGGTTCTGTTTAGTTTGGTTTTCAAAACCTATGTTTAAATTTTTTTTCTAAAAAACTAAAAATTAAATTGGTGAAAAAAAATTAAAAACACATTATTTTTATATAATATAATCTTTTGGGAGGAAAGAAATAATTTTTTTAAATAAATTTTTTGATATTTATTTTTGTAAAATTAGTTTTATTTTTTAAAAAAATTAAATATGGTGACAACTTTAATATCATTATTAAACCAATTCATTAAATTAAAAAAAAAAATTCAAAACTAAAAATATTTTATATATTAACATATTGATTATACATATTACAAGCCTAGTAACCATTCATTACATGATAACCATCAAAAAAAATATTTGTTAATAAGAAATACAACCAACTAGTACATGATAACTATCTAAAAATATTATCAAAAACAACTGTCCATTACATAGGGGGTGTTTATTTCAGTTTTTCAGAGCTAACTTATGGCTTTTAGCTTTGAAAAAGCTATTTTAGACTGTTTGGTTAAACTTATTTCAAACAACTTCTGATTCTAACAGCTTATTTTAACTCAAAAAAGCTAATTCTGAGAAGCTGCTCACCCATTGCTTCTGATTATCAGCTTCTGCTGTGGACCTGTTAATTTATGGTTATACTCTTAAATTTTTTTATTTTTTATTTTTTTAAAAATAGAAAAAGACTCAAATAGATTATAGATTATTATTATTATTTTTTATGAGAAATGTAGACAAACAAAGAATAAAAATTAATTGAAAAAGTTATTTTACAGCTTATTAAACAAACACTACTCAGCAACTTAAATCTATAATCCAACAACTACACCAAACAAATTAACAACTTCTGATTAAAGTCATAATCTATAATCTGTTAAGGCATAATCTATAAACTGTTTTAACAGTTACACCAAACGATGACATAGTTATCATCTAAATACGTACTAAAATTATTAGAAAAGTGCTTATATCTTATTCAGACGAGAAAAGCGACAACGCGGACAGTCAGAACACGAGAGCAATGTAATCTACACTAAGTTGCTAAGGTTGAGTGATCACTTGAGAGTGATCAAATCTTGAGGTTACCGAGAATAAGAATGAAGATGAAATTAAGTCAGTTATTGAGTCTAGGCAGGATGGGATGTCGGATGAGAAAGATAACAGTCAATTCCACAAGCCTATGAAGAGATGTACCAAGAGTGGCTTAAGTTGAAAACAAATATAAAGTGAGCTAAATTAGACCTTATTTGTCATGATCTAAAAAAGTTAAAAAGTTACTATCATATTTAAGTCATATCATCTTATTTAAATCTATATTACATCATTTCAAATCTCTTAGCTAACCTAGCCTCTCAAGTTGTGAGACGTAGCTTGAATTTTGTTCTAAGCTCTTGGATTGTAACAGTTTATTTCGTTTGTAAAACCTAGGCCTTGTAAACCTTTGATTGCCACCTCTTAGACCAAAGAGGTTTTAGCCTTTGTGCTTCATAGCCCTTAAGGGCTTGTATTGAGCTTCATTGCATTTTTATTTTTATTTTTTCTTTCTATTTAGTCACTTTGCATAGTTTATGGGTAATCAAGTGGTAGCCAAAAATCAACTTGGAGATATGCATTTGGCACAAAATTTTGGAAAAACTAAAAAAGGAAAATGCAAGAAAAGAAATTCATGGGACTACTAAAAAAATTTAAAAAACAAAGAAAAGGAAGAAAAAGGAAAAGACATTCTATTAAGAACATTGAAAGTTACATAAGGATAATTGGAAGATTTTGCATTTACAATATACCCCTCTCAACCAATGAAAGAAACTTGGATTTTCTTTGGGAGGCTTGAGCCCATGAATCCATCACTACTCTCTCCTCCTTTCCTACCCAAACAGAGCCTAACACTAACCAATTTCTCCTTCCCGCCAATTTTGACCATTTGCAAGCTCCTTTGAAAGACTTCTTTCAACCACTTTTCAAAAAGACTGTTGAGGAAAGTCCCAGACCCAATTAACAACTCCTCTAGCAACTTCTCTTCCACACCACTAAATAAAAAACAACCTCCCAAATCACCTTCAGCATCAAAACACCCTTTGATCTTTGACAAAACCACCTCTTTTATGAGCTTATCATGAGTCGAATCCCGATTGAAAACGAACCGGTTCTTGATCAATTCAAGAAACCCATGTGGGTTTTGAATATCATTCCCCATTTCACGTGTCAAATCGCTTGAAATTGGGCTCAAATCTCTTGCTAATTTGGCGTCTTCTTCATCATCATCGTCATTGTCGTTATCATCATCAGCTTTGATGTTCAAGTCAAGGGTGTTCGAGCTCGACTGCCTTGTGAACTCTTTTTTGATTGAATATGCAAAATTTTCCCTCTCCTCGATTCTCGGACTTTTGGCCTTGTTTGACAAATCCCACTCAGCTTTCCTCTTTTTATCATCAGAAGAGTTGGGAATTGTTTCACTCACCTCCAATTTGATCTGGGTTACAAAATTGGGGTCCTCCTCTGCATCATCTCCATAGCATGTAGAATCTGAATCACCCTTTGTTAGGATGATTATTGCTTGATTCTCTCCGATTTTTCCAGTTTCGAATCCATCAGCAAGAAATTTCATGAACTGGGTATCAGCAAAATCAACATCTTCCAACAAAACAACAATTTTTTCATGATCACTTAAAGCCCTTTCCAATTTTCCACAGCACGGACTCATCTTTTTACCGTATCTTTCTCTCATTTTCATGTGGAGGATCAAATCAGCAGACCCAAAAACCAACTCTGCAATTCCTCTTGCCAATCTCCTTTTTCCAATAGAATCACTACCCTGGATCAGTAACCAATTGATTGGTTTGGAATTGGATTCAAATTCAATCAAGGCTTCAACTATTGAAGAAATGGTTTCGAATTGCCATGGCACGTTGTCTTGTAACTGTTTGCATATCTCAGCTTTCCTATCTGCTAATTTTCCAATAGGATCTGAGAACTGACAATTACCGAGAGCAAGCGTGATCTTGACTTCCTTGCCTTGTGTAGTGTTCTTGAGAGAATCCAAGTTTGGTTGTTCCACAGATTGGTGTTTTTGGCTGTTCCTTTCATTGCCGAAACTGAACTCAATATGACACGAATTTTGGCGTCTGAAACGGGGAAAAGAACTGGCATTGCGGCTAGGCTTCAACGTTGAATTGACGAATGAGATTGAATTCGAGTCTGGGAATACGTTGTTGTTGTTTGGATTAGGCCACCATGGATATGAGGGTGATGTTGATGATGATGTATTATAGTTGTAGGTCTTTGCAGATAAGCTTTGATTGTTAATTGAAATTGAACCTTCCAGTGCTAGGTTCTGGTTATGCCTGCCTTGTTGGTGTTGGCTGTGGCACAATCTGTTCCATTTTCTCCTCAATTCAACCAATTCATCCTGAAATTTTAAAGAGAATAAGAATTATATGCAAAAGTTCATTATGCACAAGGTAAACCATTGATATTTGATTGTAGTTTATTGGAGTTACTCATAGAATCTTATTAGATAAATTATACTTTTCACTGTTATAGTTTGATTTAAATTTTACTTTAATCTCTAAATTTCAAGTTTAGTTTCAATTTGGTCCTTTTATCCAAATTTATGGTAATTTTTTCTACATGTATTTCTCAAGAGATGGGCAAGTGTCCAAAATCAATAATTTCAACTTTTAGCTGGAAAGGAAGGAGCAAATTGATGCTCAATTTAAAGTGTAGAGACCAAAGTGAAATTTGGATTAAACTACAGGGTTAAAATACAATTTACTCTTTAATTCATTTAGAGAATTCGTGCTAGTATTTGGTACAATTTATTATTAAAAAGTAAAAGAATATATGTTTTCAGTTTCTAGTTTCAATAACAAGTCAAACTGATGAACTCCGAATTGTCCCCATTTTAAGATTAAACAACTTCCAGACAAATTATACAAACAAACTGGTTTCATATTGATTTGATCTTAAAAATACCTTGGCATGTGATTGTAGCCAGCAAGGCAATTGGGTTGAAGAAGTTTTGTCCATGCCTTTGGTGTCACCACAATTAGAAGTGCTTAAATAAAGTGAACTTTTGTGGTGAGCAGACTTGATCAACCCATGAGCTTGAGCTTCCTTTTCATATTTGGAGGTGCACTCTACACAGCATGTGAGCTTATTATAATTATCATCGTCTTCCTCCTTCCCAGAAAAGGCCTTTGTTTCCAGCACTACTTTTGATGGGTTTTGTGAAAAGCTACTTATCCTTGACTCATGGACAACACTGCAAAACACCCAGTTAATGGATTCACCAAATTAATTTTATTTTAATAAATTTAGAAATATAGTAGTGTTCAAAAATTTAAATTCACAAATGTATGATAAAATCAAATAGTAAGGAGTAAATAAATATTAGGCATATTCAACTCAATTTGTGATTTTCTATTTACTTACGTAAAATAATATCACCATTACATTTAATATTTGTTTATGTGAAGGAGTCATGTGTTTCAGTAAGTCATTAAAAATCTTTATGTTCAGAATTTAAAATTCAAGTAACTTTAGTTTATTAATGGAAAAAGTAAATGAATTCAAAAAAAAAAAAAACCCAAATTTGTTGTGGAAAACTAAATAAAGCTACAATATATATATCAGTAATGATTTCCCAAATATGAGCTTTTATTACATGTCTTTCATTGGACTTGAACTTCTATTTTTTTCTTAAAAATAAAAATAATAAATAAATAATTAGCCTCACTCTCTAAAATTTTAAATTTGCTTTCCTGTTTTAATTTTTTTACTTAGACGAACAAGATTTGCCTACCAGTAGCAGCATTTCCAGACCAAGAAAGAAACAAAACGACAGGGATTCATATTTGTCTCAACAACCAACATACTTTTTCAGTGGCATGGTCCTGGTCTCTTGCTGACTACAAAAAGTATTGCAACAAAAAAACAAACACAAAAATAAAATAAAACACAAAACAAAGCCTCAATTACTAACCTAAAATAGTAATTGTAGGTACCAAGAAATAGTATCCAGAATTTTGCTTAGTCTAAATTTAACTTTTATATTGGTAAGATTCATATACTCTACCCTTAGAATAAATCTAAACTATAATTTTTTTTTTTCTAAACAAAATCCTAAATACCTAAAATTACTGAATATTTACCAACACAATATACATAACTACATGATGATGCAAATTGATATTCAACAAGAGAACAGCTTCTCTCTAGTTTGAGTTTGGAGTGGAGAGAACATTATGATGAGCTCCTGATATGCACCATGTCTTCAATTTTTTTTTTTTTTTTTTTTTTAATAAATCAATGATTCAGATTTTTTCTATTCATTAACGCATTAAATATTGAGTAAGATTTTTTACTTGGCTCTATTATTAGGTTTATAAATAGGCGGATAATCATTAAGTTAGAAAAAATACTAACGTAACGTGATGATGCATATTCAGAGAAATAGAGAGAAACCAGACTCTTCAAATAATAAATAAATATGGGTAAACAAAGACTCACCTAGTAGTAGTAGCATGGCCATGGAGACTCAAACCAAGTCCACCAGATGGAACAGAAACAGCTTGGAGTGACCATTGGATCTCAAGAGAAGGTTGCTTCATCTGACACCTCATATAGGTTTGATAATTTGCAGTAGCCATTAACCAAACCTTTGTGTTTGAATTGCTGTAATCAGAAATCAACCTTCCTATCTCTGCAACTAGATGATCAACTGGATTATAAACATAATTATAATCATCACTAGCTACAACTACTGTTCTTGTTGAGTCTTCAACTGTCCATTTTAAGTCTCCTGTATAGATAATCACACCCCCTTTTCCTGATGCAATCAGAGAATCAACCTTTCTTTTCAGGTCTGATAGGTTCATCTCCACCTCTTCTCTCCTCATGAACCTCAAAGGTACTGATGAGAACTGAAATTTTATAAAATGAGTTGATTTCAATTCGTCATAAGGTACATCTCCTTTCTCTATCTTAGCCATTACTTCTCCAACAAGCCCTTCAGTGATGGACACAGAGTCACCGACTATCACAGTGTTCCTTCTTTTCTTCCTCAACAAGACCTCAAAAACCAACTTGATATCTTCTGAATCTGTGAGACCCAGAAGTGGGTTGTTGAGTTTCTTTTGGTTTTGAGGGGAAAAGAAAAGTGGGTTAGACTCAGAATTGTAACTCAGCAAATGGGCTTTCCAGAAACTGTTGTTTGGTTGATGAGAAGGAGAGCAAGGAGACGAGTAAACTCCACCACCACCACCACCACAACCAGAGATAGTACTGTAACACTGAAACACAGAAGAAGCTGAGGAAGAAGAGTCTTCTAGGTTGTTCTTCACAGCTGTGCTAGAGAACCCAGCTTCTCTCATAACCCTACTAACACTAGGGTCATCTAAGATAGACAAAATAAGCTGCTCAAGCTCTACCTTGATAGCCAAAAGAGGCTGTTGCTGTTGCTGCTGTTGTTGTTGTTCTATGCAGCCTCTTCTCTGGTGAGCTTGAGCTCTTTTGAGAGCTGCAATGAGAGCATTTGAGAGAGAAGGTTGGGTTTGAAGGAGAGGACCAGGTGTTGTAGGAAGCCTGTTTAGAGCCACATTGAAGCAAAGCTCAAGAGCTCTACAATACTGTAGAGGATGGGAATTGCTGTTAGTTTGGGGTTGAGATTTGAGACAAGCTCTCTTTAGGAGACTTGGTCTAGGACTTGGGGTGAGCAAAGTGGAAGCCACATGGAGAGGAGTGACCTGAGCATGGCCTCTCCTCCTGGCTAAGCCCAGAGAGTGCTTCAAGACTGAAGCAGCCTCTGATGTGAGGGTCTGCTGTACTGTACAAGCTCCTGTTCGCATCACTTGGCTAAAACCCACCCCCCCACACCCCTTCTCTTCTTAGAAGAGAACACTAGTGCTCTTAGAGAACTAAAAATCTCTCTCTTGTTCTCCCTCTCTCTCTCCCTTACTTCACAGCACCACCCCCACACCACTGCTTCTTCCTCTTCTTTTGCTTTCGTGTTCTAGTTCTTGTTCTCTAAGTTGCTCTGATGTTTTAAAGAAAAGCTGGTTTACCCTTTGGAGGAAACACAAAGAAGTTAATACAAGGTTTGAAATGATGTCACACTGCCTCAAAATGGAAATGTTTTGAATGGAAGAGAAGAGCTTAGAGAGAGAACTGAGAGAGAATGGCTATAGAGAAAAACATGACTAGACCATATCACTTTATTTATACTTCCATCTTGCTGCGGCTGTTTTCAACTTTTGTTCTTGTTCTTCCTTTTTTTCTTTTTCTTTTTCTTTTTTTTTTATTTCTTTATATTTTTGAAAATGTGTTGTGAAACTTCTTTTGCTTTTTATAATAGTAAATTACACTGATGGCCCGTGAGGTTTGGCCCAATTAAATCAAACCCCTTGACGTTTTGAAAATTATGTTATACTCTATGAAATTTAGAATCCTATTACAAGTTTTCCCTTTGTTGGTTAATTGCGCAAACAACTAATAGGAAATGGTTATGTAAGTAATCTATTTTTTAAGGAAAATTTACCCATAAGTCCTAGTTTCTGAAAAGTTGAACCATTTAATCCTAAAAGTTTTCTTATGCTCCATTTAGTCCCATTTGCACATCAATCTAATGTTCGAAACATTAATCTGATGTTTGGAATCTAATGTTCGAAACATTAATCTGATGTTCGAAACATTAATCTGATGTTTGAAACATTGTAATGGGACCTTTCAGTCTATAAGAAAACTTTTAGGATTAAACAGTGTATAAGTTATTAATTTGGAATTTATTGGTGCATCCCCCATATTTTAAATTACCAAATTTATCCTTTGTCTGTCATATCTTCTCCCTCGTCTCTTTAATCTCCTTTGAAATTTAACTCGCCATGATCCTTGATTGCCACAACTACCAACAACCACCCTATAGTTATCACCACTAACCTAAAACTAGATTTTATCATAGTAACCATTGCCTTCTGACTTCATAACCACCACTACCCCATCATCAACATCCCACTTTCGAAAAGCTACCACACTAACTCCTAACAACCCAAAATCGCTTCCAATAGCCCCTTCAATCCCCTACACATCTCGCATCCGAACAACTTCCATCACCTATTGAATTTTAAATGGTCTCACCTCAACACAATTGGAGTTAGGGAGGGTTTCCCTTATGTCTTTTTATGACATTCAACATTGAGCCCTACAAAACTGTTTTCAAAGCAATGGCAGGAAGTAACAATGTGTACCAACAATAGGCAAAAGCACTATTTAGTTAGGAAACCTAAAAATAGGAAACTAAGAAATTGTAGACAATTGATAAAAATGTAAAATCCTATTAAACCATAAGTTCTAATTACATTGAATTTTATATATTCTTCATTTTGTTGTATCCGATGCCTTTTCGATCCCCATAATGTAGGAGCAGGGAATGGTGTGTTGGGATATATCTTCTTATTGGAGTTTGAGACCCAGTTGATTTTGGTTAAAAAAATTTAATTTGATTTGGTTTAAGTATAATATATTTTAATATATTATATCTAATTTTTGGAGACCTAATTCAATTGGGTAATAATTAGGATTTGATTTCAAAACCCAAGATTCAATATATATATATTGTTTTAGTTCTTGAAATGGGGTGTGGCAGTTTTTATCAATTGGTGTGGTGTTTTGTTTGGCTGAACAAAGAAATAGTTTCAACAGTGCATGGTCAAAATCTGGAAGGGGTTTTCTACTACTCTATTTAGTTCCGAAGGGTTCTTTATTTTAGTGCATCTTCAGATGGTTTTGGTAAAGCTGACTTGGATTATTATTTTAGATCTTCTACAACTTTGTTTCGAAGATTTTGATTCATCTATTTGGTGAGGTCTTTCCTCTTATTTATTTGTGATTATTTGGAATTCACCTAAGGGTGGTTTTGTAAGATCATTCATGTCCCGTTTGTAATTGTTTGGAAACTTATTTGGTTGATAGTGGAATCGGATTTCAATCTCGTTGACGTACCTCACATTGAGGGAATCACGTAAAATTCTTGTGTTGCTTTTGATTTAATTTTTTCGCATTAGTTTTTATTCCCATTGATTGATTTACTTGTGAAGAATCACATATTTTTCCTAACAACTGGTATCAGAGCTTACGGTTTATTTGGGTTTATTTATTTGTGTAAATCAATGGAGGGGAATGTAGGTTGTATGTCTAGCTTCAATCGAAACAATTGGGTAACTTGAAAAACTAAAATAGAGGACCTATTATTTTGTAAAAATTTGTATGGACCCATTAAGGGTGATAGTGGCAAACCCGAGGGTATGAAAGATGATGAATGGAATAGGCTTAATCGAAAAGCCGTTGGTGTTATCCGTCAATGTATTGATGACAGTGTGTTTCATCATGTTGCTACTGAAATTTCAACACATGATTTATGAAAAAAATTAGAAAGCCTTTATGATAGGAAATCATCCACAAATAAAGCCTTTCTGTTTCGTAGGTTGGTTAATTTAAAATATAAAGATGACAGCCCCATTCCAGAACATTTGAATGAAATAAAGAGTACTGTTAACCAACTTGCTTCTATGAAAATTATTTTTGATGATGAGTTACAGGCTTTGATGCTACTTAGTTCTTTGCCCGAAAGTTGGGAAACTTTGGTTGTGACGGTTAGTAATTCGACACCTAATGGAGTTGTCACAATGGCCCAAGTCACTAGTAGCTTGTTGAATGAAGAAACTAGAAGAAAATCAGCGGGTTCCTCTCATTCGGAAGCATTTGTTGTGAGAGGCCGAAGCCAAACAAGGGGGAGGAGTAAGACTCCTCATGGTCGTGATCAAAGCCGTGACAAATGGAAAGATGGTTCTTTTTCAAAGAAAGACATTGAGTGCTATTATTGCCATGAGAAAGGGCACATGAAGCGAGAATGCCGAAAGCTCAAGAATAAGGAGAAAAGGCGTGACAAAAGTGTGGACAAGAACCAAGAAGACACAACAACAGTTACTACCAATGCTGATCTCATGGTCGTTTGTGAAGATGATTGTATCAATTTTGTAGACCAAGAGAGCAATTGGGTGATTGATTCTGGTGCTTCTTTTCATGTGACTTCTCGAGTTGATTTCTTCACTACCTACACCGAAGGAGATTATGGTTTTGTTCGAATGGGTAATGAAGGTTTGTCCAAGATTATTGGTATGGGTGATGTTTGCTTGGAAACAAATTTGGGCTGTAAGTTGTTGCTTAAAGATGTGAGGCATGTTCCTGACATTCGCCTCAATTTGATCTCTACTGGGAAGTTAGATGATGAAGGCTTCAACAACAAATTTGGTGATGGAATATGGAAGCTCACAAAGGGTTCTTTGGTGGTGGCTAAGTGCAAGAAGACTCATACACTTTATTCGATGCAAGGAAAAATTTGTAAAAGTGTTGTCAATGCACTTGAAGATGATACTTCTACCGAATTGTGGCACAAGCGACTTGGCCATATGAGTTAGAAGGGGCTACACATTTTGTTCAAGAAAGAGCTTCTACCCGGTTCGAAAGGTACAAATCTTAAAACTTGTGCTTATTGTTTGGCAGGTAAACAATATAGAGTTTCTTTTCAGAAAAGTGTTGCTTCTAGAAAAGAAAATGTTTTGGAATTGATTCATTCAGATGTTCGTGGTCCTTTGAAAGGTAGTACACATAGTGGTGCACTTTATTTTGTTACTTTCATTGATGATTATTCAAGGAAAGTTTGGGTTTTTCTACTAAAAATTAAAGATCAAGTTCTAGAAGTATTTAAGCATTTTCAGGCCATGGTTGAAAGAGAAACAGGGCAGAAATTGAAGTGCATCCGATCAGACAATGGTGGTGAATACACTGGGCCATTTGATGAGTATTGTCGCAGCCAAGGTATTCGGCACCAAAAGACAGTTAAGAAGACTCCTCAACCAAAATGGCGTTGCCGAGAGGATGAACCGCACCATTGTGGAATGAACAATGTGTTTGCTTTTACAAGCTAAATTGCCAAGATCCTTTTGGGGTGAGGCAATGAGGACAACGATTGACGTGATCAATTTGTCTCATTCCTATCCTTTGAATAGTGATGTTCCAGAAAGAGTTTGGACCGGAAAAGATGTGTCTTATGAGTACTTGAGAGTGTTTGGTTACCGAGCTTTTGTTCACATTCCAAATGATGAGAGGTCCAAGCTTGATAGCAAGTCAAGAAAATGTATTTTTCTTAGCTATGGGCGTAATGAATTTGGGTATAGATTGTGGGATCCGGTCGACAAGAAAGTCATTCGAAGCCGTGATGTTGTGTTTCTTGAAGACCAAACAATTGAAGACTTTGGCAAAGGTGATCAACCGGAGCCAAAAACTAGTGATCTCATTGACATGGATCCATCTCCTCTATCTTCGGTGGATGATGAAAATGGGGAAGATGTGCAGCCACCCATTGAAGATGTAGAGGATGATGCGAATCCTAATGAAGTTGAACCAGAATTTGAGGAAGAACATCCAACTCAAGAATCGCCACCACAACTTGAGTGGAGGAAATCTACAAGGGACCGACAACCTTCAAGAAAGTATCCTCTCAATGAATTTGTATTGATTTCTGATCAAGAGGAGCTTGAGAGCTACCGAGAAGCAATTGAGCATAACAAAGAAAGATGATTGGAAAAAGGCAATGGAAGATGAGATGAATTCCTTACTTGAAAATCACACTTATGATTTAGTGAAGTTGCCTAAGGAAAGGAAAATTCTGAAAAATAAGTGGGTTTTCAAATTGAAAAATGACGGCAAGAATCTGAGGTACAAAGCACGTCTTGTTGTGAAAGGCTTTGGGCAAAAAAAAATGCATTGATTTTGATGAAATTTTCTCACCAGTTATGAAGATGTCTTCTATTCGGGTTGTACTTGGCATAGCTGAGAGTATGAACCTTGAAGTTGAACAACTTGATGTGAAGACCGCATTTCTTCATGGTGACCTTGAAGAAGAAATTTACATAGAGCAACCAAAAGGTTTTATAGAGAAAGAGAAAAGGAAATAGAAATTTGTTTGCAAATTGAAAAAAAGTTTGTATGGTCTCAAGCAAGCTCCGCGGCAATAGTACAAAAAATTTGACTCTTTCATGATAAATAATGGTTTTTCTAAAACCACTTTGGACCATTGTGTGTTTGTGAAAAATTTGCCATCTGGGAAATTTATTATTCTTTTGCTTTATGTTGATGAC